TAAAAGCCACATACTGGGAATTGATGCTTTTCTTTTTGGACACGGCACTGCATAGTGCCCTTTATTAAAGACCTCTGTGCTGAGTTTTAGTAGAGAAGTCCAGACCCAACTTCTTGAGCACTCACCAAAGATCTCAGGGTGCACTTTTCAAGAGTCAACAGCACTGTTGACCCCTGTGCTAGTGGGATAATTTTAGTTTGCATGCATGATGATTTACCTGGATATCTGTCCTGATCCACATCTCTTCCTGTCCTTTATCAGCTGCTGTCTGCTGATATACTAGTTGTTACATTCCTCACCAGAGGTGGTCGCATTTCAGCAACAAAGTGCCTTAATCCTAAAGGCTGCAGGTAGTTTTTCACATCTTCCACTGTTCAGAATTTTTTCAGAGGTTTTTAAAGACATTGGGGTTCCTTTTGTGCCAAGCCCAGTGTGCATCTTAAAGGCCCCTGCAAAGTTTGGCATTGCTATATGGCACTAGAAGTGTGCCAGAAAATTGTGTGCATCTATCTCATGGTATGCTCTTGTCTGGAGGAACAGTCAAGAGTTAGATTAGAGGAGTAGGAGTGAAGGCTCCTGGGCTCTAATGTCAGACCTGAAGCACACTGTGTCGTTGCCACATGCCCCAGTTTACCCATCTGTAAACAGGGCTTATATGATTTGCCTGAGCCTCTTGCGTGCTGTGGGGGTTTTTACACTTGATTTAATGTTTGTATTTCAACGTCATGTGCTCAAAGATGCCAGGAATGCATAAATGATCCTGGGTCAGACAGTGTCACTTGTTCAAGCATCAGCCCTACTTGGGATTGACCTTTTGTTATGGGTGGTCTGAAGCCCTAGCCAGGACCTGTCCAGGAAGGCAACGAGGCACGGTTGTGTTTGCTGGAAGCTGCTCTCCATGTTGGGAATCCTTCTTTTTGCATTTCCTACGAACAAAGACCTGTGGAGGAACGCAAGAATGCAGAAGGGGGCTGCTGGGATACTCAGGGGTTAAAGGAGAGCCTCTTGCACAAGGGGGGGCTAGAAGAGCTTGGCTTGTTTATCTTATCAAAATAAAGTGGGGGCTGCGGGGTGCAGTTGCTGTCTATAAATGCAATGGGGGGCAAACATCTAGGAGGGAGAAAGGATAATCTTGGCACAAGAACAACTGTGCAGAGAGTAGATGCTAGTATGTTTAACCTGGAAAGTCAAGGCAGCCGTCTGCCCATCATGGCAACGTGGTCCTGCAGCAGCCTTCCAGGAGGAGCAGCTGGGTCAAAAAATTGTAACTAGGTTCAAGATGAAGCTTGATCATTTTATAGAGGGGTGGCTGTTTGTTGGGGGACTCTCTGCAGAGAACTGGATTCTGCCCAGGAGAACATAACAGAAAAAACGTAAGAACCATTTACTGGGTCAGACCATAGGTCCATTTTGCCCAGTATCTCATGTCTCACAGAGACAGAGAATGGACGTTGAAAGGGAGAGTGAACTGGGTGTGACCAGGGCTTTTTCCACTGTGCCTCTCACTTGCAGCCTCCAGCTTCTAAGGGAAGCCACCCTCCTAGTTTTGTTTCACATGCATTAGTGTTGCGTGCGCTCAACTTGCCATCGGCCCAAGTATGTGCGTATTTTTTAGGTACAGGTTAGTCACCACCTGTGTGATACTGTGACTCTGAAGATGCAGCAGAGCTGGAAATCTCTCAGTGACTGTGAGTGATGTAGAAAATAGCTTGCATATCTCTGGCCCTCTCCTTCTGAGAACTTTACTTTGTGGTTAAAGAGGACAAACTTGCCAGCAGTGCCCAAGTGCTACTTCGGTGACTTTTGAAGAGGGGCCTTCAGATAACATTCACAAATCCTGCCACACTGAAAGAGCTGCATGCAAATGGATATGGAAACTGAGGCATAGAGTGGGGAAGTAACTTGCTCAAGGTCACACTAGGGGTTAGCTGAGAACCTGTCTCCAGGTTTTCCAGTGCTGTAGCTTCCCACAGGCTCATGCTTGCTCCATTTGTGCTGATTTTCGGGTATGGAAGGTTTTCTTGGTGCTTTATTGCAAGGTTTATTATTGCTTGCTAATATGTTTTGTTGCATTTGAGAAGAGAGAACTGGAGAGAGAAGCAGGGTGCGTGCTGGGGACTGGAGTCGGTATTGTGTGCTGTGCAAGTCTGATATTGTCTCTTCACAGATGGACGTATAATGCCACACAAGCAAGCTGGGATCTGAAAAGATGTGCTGTCTGCTGTGATATGGAGACAAGCACGTTTACCTGGGTGGCAGGCTTGCTCTGTGTGTTTCTTCCCCTGCATTACTATAGCATGGTTGATTTTCTCAGAGCTCTGTTCTTATGCATCCTAACAGTTACAGGGAGCTTTAACGTGTCATGACATGCCATTTTTTTCAAAGCTGCAAATACTGCACAGTGAAATGTAATGAGCTTATTTAGTGAATAAGGAAAAAAACTAGGATTTTGTTTCTTTTATTTCGTTTCAAAAGGGAAACACTGCTCGCTATTGAAGTACACTCAGTCAGATGGCTTCCTGGTAGAAATCGAGAGGACCCTGACCACAGCACAGAACATCAGTGAGCTCAGAGCAGCGGACCTGCAGGTCAAAATGTTGCTGGTGTGACTGTATTTAAGTCATGGAAGTAGCCAACTTGGCTGCAGTAGTGTTACTTTAGATGTACAGCAGTGTAACCGAGGACAAAATGTGGTGCGAGCAGCTGCACTGGTATAAGTGAGTACAATGGGGCTTCTTCTGTTGTGTTAGCACCTACCGTGGATTCAGTACTCCATTGTCCAGAGAGCTACGTGTGTTCAAACAGCGACCGCTATCTCGTAGAGATCTTGTTTTCAGCAGAGACTAGTGAATTAATTCCACAGGGTAGACTATAGCTCGTCTGTGGAAACCAGGTTTCCAGTAAGCAACATCCCTCCTGCATTCAGTAAATCTTTGCTGGTGGGGAAAGAGGATGCCGGGTCCCGCAAGGAGCAGTGTCATTTCTTGCTGATTAGGTCTCTGTGCCCAGTCACCATGAGTTGTAATAGTGGTGCAAACTAAGTGCCCAGAAAAGCTGATACTTGTTCTAGGAGAGTTAAGGCCTAAATGTATTTTTCAGCATTATTACCTCATAGCACCTGCAGGTTCTGCATTGGTTTTGCTCCAGTTCACATGCGGTTGATGCTGAGAAGCATCAAGATTGGACGCTTCTCTATGTTCCCTTCCGTTCTGCGCAATCCACACAGGCTGGGTGACTGCTTTTCACCACGCGAGCCAGTACTGGGCAGAGAGGAACCCTGCTGGTGAGATAAGGCACGTGCTCTTAAGTTTCTCGACAACCCTCCAAAAATCAGAACAGTGCAATCTAGCCCAGGCTTCTGAATAAAGACCTTGCTGGTTGTGGAAGCTGCATCCTTAGGACTCTGACCATTTAATTTCTGTCTTAGCAGCTCCACACTGTGTGAAATACCATACACATTCATTCAAAACTGGTGGTTCTCCTCTCAGACTGACAATGAGAAGACAATCTCCAACTGCTGTGAGCAGCGGGTTCGCTGAGTCCCAGTTAATCATCAAGTGAATGGTGCTCAGTGTAGGCTTCCCTGTTGGAAACAACCCGACGCTAATGTTAGTTCAGAGGTCTAGGAGCATGCAGAGCTCTGAGAGCTGGAAATCCTGCCTCTAACAACGTCTTCCTATTCAACTGTGTGGGCCAAACTTCCTTTAACATATCTGGACCAAATTCAATCCAGATGTAAGTAGTGCAGCTCCGCTGACAATCAACCTTTCTTTTTGTAGACAAGTATTCTCATGTACAGATGTGATTTACACAATATATATATACAGTGCTAAGGGTTTAACACTTGCGCTGTTTTATACAGGTGTCAGGATGTTACAGTAGTCCAAGAGCCAAATTACCCTGAAGCTTATTTAGGGAGGGAGGTGCCAAATACAAAAGATTTAGAAAGCTACAGTATTTACAGTGTTAATCTGATATGCCTTTAGACTACCCCAGCAGATTTCCATCAGGCTGATATTACTGACCTTCCTCATGTGGATTGTGGTACCAGTTGTGTGAAACAAATACAACCTCCAGTCAAGGCAACTATTAAACATTGTCATTTATTTTGATTATGGATAGTGCCTTTATTTCAAATAGAATAGTTTACTCACTGCAAAGTTGTATGCCTGTTGAAAAGAATTAGCATTTAAAAAAGTCTTGGATACATGCAAATTATATTGAATTTTGCCAGATTTAGTAAAACGAGAAGCAGAGCCTCTTCTAAGTTAGCTACTTGCATATGAAGGAGAAGCAGCAACTGGCAGTGTTAAGCCCCTCTGGAAAAGGCATGCAGATTTATAGTGCAGGGATATGATGTAGACAGAGCCGAGGGGAAGACTGAAAATTTTGAATGCAATTGAACCCAGAGAAAACCAAGCCAAAAGTTTTGCCATTCATGCCTGAGCCAGAGAGTTGGCGCAGTAAAGCTATTCAAAGAAAGGGACTCTAGCGGAAAGCCAATTGGCTACACTTTATGCCAGGAAATTGTTTGATCCTTGTAAATGTATTAAAATTCTAGAAAGTGGAGATGGGTCTTGCTGCACGTTTCAGATCCCTCCCCCACTCTTATCCCCTCCCCAAATTTAGTGGAAATTAAGATCTGGGTTCATACCCTGCAGCAGGAGTCCCTTCTCTGCTGTAATGTGGTGGTCCATTTGCCGTCAGCAATTCAAAGCTGTTCCTCTTCTAAAAATTTTTAGAAACAAAGCACTTCTGGTCACTGGGAGAAAGGAGGGAGTCAAATGACCTAAAAGCCTTGCAGAGGCCTTCAGCTGACTGACACCTGACTACCCCAGCATGGCAGTGTATAAAAACCTCCTTTGGAACGGGTTTGTTTTTCATTTACAAACATTCAGTACTGTGATAAGTATCTGGCAGTTTTTTTCCCTTTTCTGCATCTCGGAGACAGATGTGAACTACAAGCCGCGATCCCAACTTTGCAGATGCCACCCCCCCCCCCCCCCCCCCCCCCCGAGTCTCTAAAAACAGACCCAATGCCACTCTCAGATCCGCTGACGTAAACCCCAAGTAATGACATGGAGATCACTGGAGTTATCTGGGGTTCACAGTGGCATGACTAAGAGCAGAACTGGGCTTAGGGTTTGGCAAAGTCAAGGTCAGTTTGCTGGTCCAACTCCTGTTAAGGCTAAAGAGAGAGACAGTGGTTCTGGATTGTGAATAGAGCTAAGGAAGCAGGAACTTGAGTGGAAGTGCACCTTTCTGCAGGTGCCCAGCACGAAGAATATGCACCGGTTACATGGTGCTTGTTGCACAGACCCTCTACAAAGGGCTGAATTTCCTCCTCACTGCTCGGCAGCTGGTGCAGGGAAAGATCCCTACTTGTTTTTAACTAATCAAGCACGCTACCTTGCAATGCCAGTTGAGAAAGGAAAAAGGTTTAATTTTTGTCTCTGCAAGAGTCCTCTTTGGGACAACAGCAGCCTGTCGCTCACATACAAGAGAGAGGCTATTTGAAAACCAAGATTTTGGTATTAATGATCTCTCTTCCAAAAAGGAAATCCTTCCTGCAAAGTCTGTTCTGTTTTCTTCAACTTCTGTGCTATTTAAGGGGCTGGTATTACGACACCACAGAGACCAATGTTTTTGGAAAGAGAGAAAGCATAGCGCATCACTAATGTTTAAAAATATGTGGTCAGCTTTAAAAAATATAGGTATACAATGATCACATTTATGTTCTGTATGAAAAGAAATAAGACGACATTTGCAAGGATGAGAGAAATTGCCAGTCTCAAGTTCTCAAAGCATTGTATAGAAATCTGAACATGTAAATCAACCCTTAATAACCTTCATAGTTGAGGTATCAGTTTTAAAGTGTCTCTGTGTAAAGTACCCAGCCCAGTGATACACAGCCGAACATCATGTTTGAGATGTCACTGCAGCTGTCACGCAGGCAGCCTCCTTCTTGAAGTCGTGTTTATTTGGCAGTGTCCCGACCTCTGTTCTGTCTGGCAGGGGCTGTCTGGAGCCTGTGTTGTTGACCTTGTCGGGTTCATTTCTGCCTCCATCACCTAAGCGCACATCCTCCTGACTCTCTGCCAGGCCATCCTGGCTTTCCAAGTCACTCATCTGGCCCTCTCCAAACTCCAGGATGGTCGGCAAGTTGCCCTGTTTCGGGCATCGTTTCCGTAGGCTGACCAGGAAGGGCTGTGGCAAGGAAAAGATGTCCACGTTGTTGCCCAGATCAATCCAAGTCACCCTGGGAAACTTCTTCAGGTCCTTCAGCGTTTCTGTCAGATCCCGAAGGACGGCTTTTGTGAGCCGGTTCCCATTCAGGGCGAGCGTGGTGAGATGAGGCAGAGCACTGAGGACAGGCAAGAGTTGGAGGAGCATCTCATCGGTCAGTTCGGTGAAGCACAGCTCCACGCTGTCAATGTGCTCTGAGCTGTGCTGGAGGTACGAGTTGACACGGTCCAGATCTTTCGGGGTCAGTGGGATGCTGGACAGATCTACCGTGTTGTCTGCGGGCTTCCCCACCAGGATAGCTTTCAAGCTGCGGAGAAATGACAGAAAGGTTAACAACGGGCAGATCCAGTTGCTGATAAGCATGGCTTCCCGGAGCGGGGGCAGTGGGATTCTTTCAAATAAGACCCACAGCAGCAGGATGGTAAACACCAGCCTCTTTCAGTGTCAGGAGTTTTAAGTCCTATTTTGTGTTGAGGGGAAAAAGTAACTCATTGCAAAGCCATGGAGCTGAATACTGGAAGCCTTTTAAAGTCACAAAAATAGGAAGTGATAGGAAGCAGTTGCACAGAAAAACAGGAAAGGTAATGGCATGACAGCGCTAATGTATGGCATTTATCGGCCTTGGTAAAGTGTGTTGCATTGGGTGAAAAGCATGATAATTTTTGCTTCTCCCTGTATTATAAAGGAGAAACCTGAAATGACGAGATGAAGCATATTTAGCCTAAAGACCACATCCATGGTGACCTGGCAGCTGGATGGCCTGACTCGGTTTAAATTGAAAGCCTCCCATGATTTAGTCGTAATAACCATAGTACTCTTCAGCCTTGGAGACCATGGAGATGAGCACTACGTTAGTGCTTTTGATAAAACAGCCCTCTTGAGGGCCATGTGGCGGTTGATTCATGTCTGTGCCAGACTGGATTTACACAGATGAACAAATCGTGGACATGCCTGCAACAGGGACCCAACCACCTGTCACCAGCTTAACTAACTGTCATAGCTGAGGACTTTCCACTAATGAATTATTCTGAATGAATTGGGGAACTGAGGGAGTTCCATGCACGTTAACGACTCCTATCAACTTAGTTAGCTAATGTTTCTCATCTGTTGCAAGGGCAGGCGTGAGAGCTTTGCGCCAAAACAGCAAGCTGCAGGAAGCCCCCGAATTTCATTATGCTCCGAGCTGAAAAACAGTTTTGTCAAGCTACTGTTTTGTCAAACCTTAGCAATTCTCTTTATCTAAGGTTTTGTTGTTAATTTGCTGTGTTAATCAAGATGGAAACAAACCCTTTCTCTGGTGTTTTTTAGACTGTGGAGAATGACTAGAGCTGAAGAGCATCCTAGAAATCTTAGAGAGAAGACAATGCAACTGCCTTCATGCTAGTGCTGTTGATTTACTCACTCCACAGTGCGGTGTGAGGTCTAGCTCATCTCTGGAAGTGGTTTTGTTGCCTAGGCCTAGGATTTAAGGCTGCACATGTTACTTATTGAAGACAGAGGAGCACCCTAAGGGCTCCAGCGGTGAAGATCTTTTTGCTCAAGGCCTGGTAGGGACTGATAGACTACACAATCCAAGTAAGCAGATATACAACCTCATGGTATGATGCTCTGCCTGAAAACGCTAGAGTAAATTTTCTCAGGGCGGTAGCTAAGCAGGATGGAAGGAAACAATTAAACATTTCCTCCTCATAAAGCAAAGGTTTTGGGTTATTTTTAAACCTCCCTAATGCTGCATGCATTACCCCAGTGTCCTTACCCCAGTGTCCCAACATGGACTGCAGAGTTCAGAGAGCTGCTTTCTGGGCATTTTTCTGTTTTGTGACCCAGGACTTAGCAACATGCTTGCTTACAGCAAAGCTGCCATGGCTCTCTGTTATCTCCCATTTCAGATATGACCTTTGAATACATTGGTGCTGGCTGCTTTGCACTGGCATTTTCCAGAGAGCAGGAACCCAGAGGACTCGGCCCCTTGAAGCCTGCACTAAACACAACTGATACACTGACTATGATTTTGGTAAATGGGTCTCCGAGTGCGAATATCCTAAGCGACACAGGAAAAATGTGAAATTTCAGGGCAAGTCGTGCTCTAAGTTTTAGGCAAGTGTGATCTAGATGTCACTGTAGTCACCCCAATCCATGCTGGTACAACGGACAGCCGTGCCTCTACCCCTGTAAAGTCAAGAGCAGGTGGGTTTTGAGTATTCTGCTGGTGTAGATACCTTTAGTCCTTTGACAGCTTCGATGTTCAATTCTTAATACGGTGTGGGCTGTATCTGTTCCAGACCGAGAAGTGAAAGGGATGTTTTGTACACTGTGATGCCTGTCACCATAGGGAGCACAACAAGGGGTGATGCATAAGGCTGCACAAAGTATTTCAGACCTCTTGGCAGGAGCATTCGCTGTCCTGAACTCCCTTTACCTGCAGGCAGAACTAGACCTGACACAATAAAAGGTCTGGAAAGGAAATCTGAAATGACACTCCCTGCTTAGGAAGCATGAGAATGGAGGTTCAGGGCCATCGCTGTGCCTGCAAGGCTTTACCTAAATGCCAGCTGTAGAAAATTCACCAGCAAATGCAGGCCCAAGATCTGCCCTAAGTCCTATATTCTCACCAAGAGGCTCTGGGATTCTCGGAGCTCACAGACTCTGAATAGTCAGGCAGCACCATTATGCCAGTAATTAAGTCTCTTTGGAACTTGTGTAAGGCTTTCTCTTGAACTTGAGCTAAGGTAGTCCTGCTGACAGTATTACGTGCAGTTCACATCTCCCCCCCCCTCCAGAATGAACAGTTTGAAGCAGTGGAGCCAGATGCACGAAGTGCAGGCATGTGCTACGGGTGTAGATAAGTCCATTAGCATAATATAATGGCCCTAGTGTGGGTGCAGCTTTACCATTATAAAGGTGCCATGAACTGCTACAGTTTGTGTTCCTGTTCACACACAAGCTCTGTGATCAGTTATTTGATACCGAAATGACTGTGTTGACGTTAACAAATGTACTGGAATAAAGAGTGATTTGGAAGGAGGTAGCATCAACCCCCAAGCAGCACAGCGAAGTGGGTACAAACCACTGAGCACAGATCTGAACTAACTATGTGTGCTGCTCCAAGTCTGCAAGCAAGGGTGTGTGCCAGAGTTTTGCTAGGGGCATCGCTGAGCCATCGTTCTTGCTCTGCCTCTGGAAGTAGATCAGGCTCTGGTTTTGCAAAAGAGAAAACTGAAGTACAAAAGCAAAGGGATTTTACTCAAGGTCACTGAGAAAGCCAGGAAGAGCATGCTGGCCAAGAAACTCTTAATTCTCCTTGCACATGCCTCTTGCTGGGATGCACCTTTTATGCATCCCAGATGGAAGCAGAAGCCCTTGTACATTGCTGCCCTTTAGGGGGTGACGTGGAATCCTTTTCCCACGCTCCTTTTGCACACATACACTCCCAAAACACGTCCCACATCCCCTGTTTTTAGGGGATGTTATTAGCTAGACTGGATAGGCATCTGGCCGGGGTCATCTGACCCCAGCACTGTTTTCTGCCTAGGCAGGGGGTCAGACTTGATGATCTGTTGAGGTCCCTTCTGACCCTAGCATCTAGGAATCCATGAATAAGTTCAGAGCTAACATAATCAGCTGACTAGCGCTGCTCCCTCCCTATGGTGCCAGACCACAAGGGGAAATTGCATTTGTGTGTGTGTTTAAGCAGTTCAATCTTTTGTCCACTTCCTCCCCACTCTGGCCCAATTCCTTCTTTTAATGGAGAACCAGGGTGGGCAGGGTGTGGTTCTGCCCGAGTGTGATATCCTTACAGTACTGCTGAGTAGCCTGAAAGCTGCAGGCTGCGTCACATGTGGTTTTGATCAGCAATTCGACCTTACTTCTGCTGGTTCTTGCCAGTGCTCCATTAAACCTCTGTGAACCCCTGACTGGACACGTGGCATAAAAAAAAAGACTCCTAAATGTGATTTGAATGTGGAAAACTGGTCTGTTTCTCACTGGGGATGGATTCCTGGCAGCTCTAGGACATCAAGGAGAATGAGTGTGAAAGCTGGAACCAACAGCCATGGATCACTTGCAGGGAATTAAGATTACTGGCTGTTTGCAGCCTATGATGTGCCAGGGGAACACAGTTATCAGGTGTTATAGCACAACCCCAGAATAGCAGAGAACATGTTGGGGAGAGGGAGGAATGAGAAGCCCTGTGCCACCTGGTTGTGGAAGCCGGGTGCTGGGTAGGTTAAGACTCACTGCCCTCCTTCCCTGCTTTCTGGTGCAGAGTAAGTTTTGCCCAGGGTGCAAATTACACCTCTACGATTCCAGCATCAAGCAGCCACCTATCTATTGGATAGACTGCTTAATACTTGCACAAAGTTGGAACAGAGCAGCCTAGTGAATAACTGCTTAGCAAAGAGGATAACAACCTGGTTGCAATCTGGTCTCTAGTGTAGTCAGCTCAGTTTAAAAATTAGCAACGACATTTAAATGCCTTGTTCCACAACTGCTGTGTAAAAGGGTGTTTGTTGGCAGTGGAGTGGGAGATCGAAGACGCCAGACCATTCGGGCTGCAGAAAGGGAAGTGCAAAGCTTTTATTGCCATCATTTTGGTCTGCTCGATGAGAGCAGCTATTCCTGAACAAGTGGCAGCAAGAAATGTATGACCTGCTTCACCAGATCTCATTTATGACACACACTGCCTTTTTTTCCCCCACTCCCAATAATTATACGAGCCAGAGGAGATAAGGGAGAGTAGAACTGAGAGGTCTCTGCTCTCTCCCTCTAAAGAGGCCTCTGTAGCCCAAGTTGAAAGAGAATGTGCATTTGTTTCAGCTGTGTCAGAGTCTACAAGTAGTATGTGTAGGAAGAGAGACGCTGCCACACAAAAGGATAATCATACACACATGCACAGACTACTCAGACACACAATAGCCCGCGCTCTGTAATTTCCCAGATACAGGTAGAGAATACCAAGTGCCATTTGAAATCCAGGCACACCACTTTTTGCAATTTGTACCCTGTTTCAGGCACTTCAGTGTTGGCTTCCATAGCCGTGTTTGTGTGCGTGTGTGTGTATGCATGTGTGCGCTCCTAGGTGTGCTTTTTAGAGCAGGGCTGTCTCCCTCCTCCCTGCCAAATGGAGCCCTGCTAGATCTGGCCCACGGTGGGATTGGCTGCTGCCTATTCGGCCCGCCGGCCAAAAAGGTTGAGCACCATTGATCTAAACAGTCATGAGAGGGTCAATACTGACCCAGCCATGATTCAAACCTTGTCTAGAGGTGAAGGGCTGGATTTCCTCAGCTACACTAGGGCTTGGCATGTTAA